CAAATAATTTGAATGTTTGAAGATTATTCTAGAAGAATCACTCTTAAGCCTTAGAACCTAAATCTTAGAGTCTTCAGAACTTCTCCTATCAGAACCTTGTCTTCAGAGTCTTCAGCACTTGGTTGTAAAAACTTGCTTTTCTTCAGATCATCAGAACTTGTTCAGCAGAACCTCGTCTTCATAATCTTCAGAACTTGTAATACACAAAAGAAAATATTTAGAAGACCTCCAAATCTTAACCATAAAGTCACGATCGAAACCTCTTATACTAACGTTCCTAAGACCCGTTGCATAAGATGAATTCAAGAATCTTGACTTCAACTGTAACACGTAAGCACATGTTTTTATCCAGTAGTATTTATATTCAAAACCTGATGACATCACACGCCTTGATACCAGATCTAGAATATTACAACAACAACTACACACCAGAACAAAACCATTAAAGTATACAATTGTTCTTTTATGATATCATGTAAAGTTATCATCAAAGTCTTAAGGCCATATGTAGAAACAGTTCTTGTTCTTACAGGTACCTATTCAAAATATGAACAACAGTAAAAAAAAAACTTCTCCCCATAAAGATTTTGGAAAATTATTATGCTTCAGCATGCATCTTTCCATATCCAATATGGTTCAGTTTCTTCTTTCTGCAATTCCATGATATTGAGACGTATAAGAAGCAGTTACCTCATGATCGAAACCATGTTTTGTACAAAAATTTTCAAACATCTTGGATGTGTAATCGCCACCTCCATCTATTCGCAGAACTTTGATCCTCTTTTCACTCTGGTTTTTGACAAGCATCTTGAATCTCTTAAAGATTTCGAATACTTCGTCCTTTATCTTAATCACATAGATCCATATCTTTCGACTATACTCATCGACAAGCGAAACAAAATATTTGTTTCCACCAATGGCATGTTCTTCGAATGAACCACATACATCTAAATGTACCACTTCGAGTATGTAGGATGATCTCATTGGCATATTTAAAACAAAAGAATTTATGAATTACTTTCCGACTAAACAACTTTCATAGAGTTTGTCAGGCATCTCAAGACTTGGGATACCAGTTACCATATCTTGAGTAATCAACTGATTGAGCGATCGAATATTCAAATGTCCAAACCTCAAATGCCACAACCAATTCTCCTTGTGGTCGACAATAATTTTTAGACATTGAACTTCAGTCGAACTTATCATGGTCTTAAATGTCACGTTCTTCGACAAAGGAGATTTCCAGACCAAATTGTTATTGGTGTGAACAATTTTAAAGCCCCATCTTTCATAATAACTGGGAAACCTTTTTCGACAAGTTGTCCAACACTTAGCATGTTACACTTTATTCCAGGTACATAGAGCATATCTTGGATCATAACTTTCCCTCCATTACTCATTTGAAAAACTATGTTGCCAGTACCTTCTGCTTGCAACAAACTATTATCAGAAAGTTTTACCTTGCTCTTCTTCGACTCGTCTAAATCTGCCAACCACACCTTTTGACCGGTCATGTGATTCAAATAACTTGAGTCGAGGAACCATGTCTTAGATTCGACATGGTTATCTGTAATTGCAGCCATAACTATCATACCTTAAGAATCATCTGAATCTTAGCGTGCAAGGTTTTCTCCTTCCTCTTTGTCTGTCCATCCCTTGTCTTTTCTGTACCAATAATTCTTAGCGAAGTGACCCCACTTTTCATAGTTATAAAACTGCACACCTTTTTTATCTTCTTTGTCCTTTCGATAGTTTCCTCCTCATTTTTTTGAGGATTAAGAAGTTCTATGTTTGACCTGATGCTCATGAGGGTTCGACCACGACTTATTTCTCTGAATCTTGTCGACTTTGTCTTTGAATTTATTGGAATCACCATTCCTTTTTCATGACTAAACTTTCAGAGGTTGTATGGATTCTTGAACTCCTTTCATTTCGACAATCCTAATCTTATGCGCTTCCAACGAACCAACCAATTCTTCCAATTTTAGGGTTTCTAGTTGATTGGATTCTTGAATAGCTATGATAACGTGATCAAAGTGAGAGGTTAATGTTCGCATTACCTTCTCAACTATCATCTTATCTGTTATAGTTTCACCACAACCCTTCATGAGATGGACGAGTTTCTGGACCTTTGACACATATTCTGCAACTTTTTCGTCTTCTCCCATCGACAATAATTCATATTGTCGATGCAAGGTCTGCAACTTGACAACCTTGACTTTCTCACTTCCCTCATAATACTTGACCAGAATATCCCATGCCTCAGTGGCCGTTTCAACATGAGAGATTCTGTAGAAGTTAGCAGCATCGACCGCCATCTGAATGCAATAAGCAGCCTTGCAATCTTTCTTCTTGACTTCGTTCAAGCAATTTTCCGTGCTTCGGTTGCATCTGCAGCCAACGCAAGAACGCCGTCGGTAACCACTTCTAAGGTATCATGGAAGCTAGACAAGGATTGCATATGTTTTTTTTATCGGATCTAATTTTTTGCCGTCAAGTATTAGAAGAGAATTTAGAATGCCCTTATCACCAGCCATCTTTGCAATGATTGATTCACTTGCTCTGAAAACACGATCTCAGACGTGAAGTTTTTGAAAACACGATCAAGAACCATAACTGGGAGCTCTGGATACCAATTTGTTAGTGCGTGAGACACTTTTAGTGAGGAGAAAAAGAGAGAATAATAAAGAAATAAATATTTTATTGTTAACGTGAATTATACAAATAATAATACAAATTATGACTATTTATGTACAATCTTAATTAAACTTGAATTTACCAACTTGAATTATATTTAATATTATATCTAATGTCTTACCATATCTAACTTAAATTATATTTGATATATCTAATATCTCAACCATTATCAAAATTATAACCCGACACTACATGAAACCACATATATGAAATCATATATCCTTAAATATAACATTAGAGGTATCCCATCACTAAGTGATGAGTTTCTCTTAGAATGATGATTTTTTTTTAAAATCATTTTAAGGAGATAAAAAAGCTAGAAAGATTTAACCAGACAAAATATGATCAAGTGCCATGCCACTAGTTGAAGCATAAGCATCAATCCAAATGAAAAATTGACCATAACATACTAGTCCCCATGTATAATAGTAATAATATTATTATACAACATGACAGATGAAATTCGAGAACCTACCTACCCACCAACCCCAAAATTCCAGCCCATCAAATTTGACCAAAATTCATCACAAACCAAACACTAATCCTTTTTTCTATAAAGATAAAAAACTCTTAATCATCTCCTAAAAATCACAATTCACACAAAAATGGGTTCTACAAATCAAGAAGAAGTGAGACTATTAGGAAAATGGGCAAGTCCATTTAGCAACAGGATAGATCTTGCTTTGAAACTCAAAGGTGTCCCATACAAATACTCTGAGGAAAATCTACTTAGTAAAAGTGAAGATCTTCTCAAGTACAACCCTGTTTACAAGAAGGTACCTGTTCTTGTTCATAATGGAAATCCAATTGCTGAGTCACTTATCATTCTTGAATATATTGATGAGACATGGACAAATAATTCTCTTTTGTCTCAAGATCCTTATGAGAGAGCTTTGGCTCGTTTTTGGTCTAAGACTCTAGATGACAAGGTTAGTATCATGTTCTTTTTTTTGTTACACTCTTAAGATTAATGTTTTACACTCACATATGCAATAACCATATAATTGACACGATCCTATAACCCTCATGTACCTTTGAAAAGACCAATCATAAGTTTTTGCAGTTACGAGTAGGTTAGTCACAATTCAATCATGATAAAATAAGTATAAATTTTATTTAACTAGACTTTAAGTATGACAAATATTTTACGAGGTCATTTATTTACACAATTTAATTGTGATAAAGTTTGGGTTTGTGTTATAGTGTCTTACGTGCTCTCAAAGACGGTTTTGTCTTAGAAGAGAGACTGTCTGTTGTTTTAAATTGCGGTTGTGGATATGATTGTAGGTGTTGTGACTACTATGATGTGCATTGCGACATGAATTTTAATTGAAAAGTGTTTGAAATAAACGGTTAAAATATACTTGATGTTAAAAAAATTTATTACATAAGAAACAAATTGAGTTTTGAATTCTGAAATTTTGAGTTTATTATAAAAATATTTGAAGAAACATACGCGAAATTGTTTGATGTGATTAGTAATATCAGATGAATGCATGGTTTTAATTTACATCACAATTGAGGTCTGATGCAATTGAGAGTCTACCGCATCAAGAATATTGTTGTCACAATTACGATTAACGGTCTGTATTTTAAAACAATGGGCTATGGATGTGTCTGGTATCTGACACGACATAAACACACCTGACTATGTTTAATTTATTAAATTTTTTCGATTTAATTTTTTGATATAGATCTTGCCTGCAATATGGAATGCATGCCGGGGTGCTGAAAAAGGAAGTGACAAAGCTGTGGAAGAAGCCTTTGAAGCTCTAAAGCTACTAGAAGATGAAATCAAAGACAAGAGATTCTTTGGTGGAGAAACCATAGGACTTGTTGATATTGCTGCAAGTTTCATTGGTTATTGGGTTGATATATTACAAGAAATTGCTGGATTAGAGTTACTTACTATTGAGAAATTTCCAAAGGTATTTAAATGGAGTCAAGAATTTATCAATCATCCTGTTATCAAAGAAGGATTGCCTCCAAGAGATGAACTATTTGCTTTTTTCAATGCTTCTGCTCCAAAATAGAGACAATTTTAGAGGTAGGGTTCATATTTTGTTGTCATGATTTTATTTTCCTTCAAAGAAATGAAGTTGATGAGTTAAAGGCTGTTTACTGATTTGACTTGTAATCAAAATTACAAAACAACACTTTATTTTCTATTCCTCATTTTCTTCTCTTTGAACTTTTACATAGTTCCTTGAAATTCTTCACTTTCACATAATATACAAACACCCCAAAATAGAAATCACAAAATAAAAAAAATGTCTCATCTCATCTATGATATCAAAATCCTTTCACTCAATCCATGCCTGATCCATTACATCAAGCTTAAAATCTTCTATGCAATCACTTGATTCTTTATCTGTTTCAGATGCCACCACTTCATCAAATGTATGTAGTTTTGGAACCAACTTTGTATCAATTGGACAACCATAGTCCTCTTTTCTCCCAATGCTAAGAAAATTTGTCACAACCTTATATGGAAATGAAATACTCTTGCGAGGAATAACACCGGTTTTTGATATAGACGAGACTTCATCAGAATGTTTCGTTAAGTCGTCTACATAAAGAAGGTCATCAATTCGTGTAACAATATTCGACGCCAAACTCTCTAGTACTCGTGAATAACTCTCTAGAATGGATTTTCCAACATCCTACATAACACAAAATTGTAAAACTAAGATTAATCTTATCAACACTCAATATCTAAACAAAATTAAGAATATGTGACAAACACGTCTCAAGTCAACACGTCTCAAGTTTTTGGAGACTCTGTATAAATTAACTGCAATTTAACCATGACAAAATAAGCCGTCTTTATTTAAACACCATTTAACTGTGATAAATTTTAGATCTTGTGCAGTAGCACGTCTTCAAAGACGGCCCAGATAGAAACAAAAACAAAGTAACAAACCTTGTTGCATTGGATTTTGCTGACATCTAAGGATGTTTGAGGGAGAAAAGGAAAATGTTGCTTCAAGGATAGTAGAAGGCTTTCACCTCTCTCAATAAGCATTTCACTTTTGTCTCCTTCAACAATCAAATCCTTGAACATTTCCCATGATGATCTTGAACTTGACCTCGTAGCGCGATTCGCAGGCTTTAAGTTATTCTTTTTACGCCAAATATAAATCGAAGCTTCTACTCTATTTGCAATCTTTATGGCTTCATACTCAGAAGATATTTCAAGAGAAGCTAACAAACTTTCAGGAGAAAAATTATCTGAGGTAATATATCTATAGATAACATCTCCCAAACCGGTTCTCGCAGTCTGTAACAAGAGTTGGATCAACAATATTTCCATTTTTTTGTATGAGATAAGCACTTATATGATAAGTGCTTATGAAATAGTAAAGAACATTAGTACCTTTGGAAGAGCCTCTAAGTAGGTATCAGGAACCTGCATTTCATCCAAAGTGATGTTGTTAATGGCCATTGCAGCTTTCGATATTTGGTTTGCGCAATCGCGCTTATTCTGCAACTGTTTTCTTGAATTTTCATGGAGACCACAAGGCGGAATTTGAGGTACTGGAAGCCACCATTTCTCTTCTTGTCTCTGAACCGACCGGGGAAAAGAGGATAAACCATCTTCGTCTGAGGCCATAACAACTTCGTCGATATACCTGAATTCGGTGTTGACAAAACCTTCTAGTATTTCCTGTAAATGAGAAAATGCTTAGAATGTTTTGCTTCTGAAAACTGAATTAATGTGCAGAAAATGTAGACGAGTCTTACAAGAAGCATGTTGTCGAGTTTTCGCAAAGCTGGGAGATTGATGTAAAGATCTGAGCGTGGTCTACAAGTCATGACCTGATTCACATATAAAATAAATACGGTTAAGAATCAAACAATGTCTAAAAACCTTGACACAGACACAGATACAGATACCAGACATGACCCTCGTACAAACGATTTTAAACGAGTATACATAAAACCATCTTTGAAGATGTAATTGTACCTCAAACTTGCTTCCATCTGGAAATATTTGCCAACTAGGTTTGAATTCAACAATATGATCACTAACACAGAGAAGCCATTCCATCTCTCTTTGCCACATTGCTTTCTTCTCTGTTGACAATGGTTCCAATCTCCAAAGTTGGCCAAAAATAGTGGCTATAGATTCAGAAAATGTATAAAAAGTTCAAACTTCAGATTTCAAATTTCATTAAATTCAACAGAAAAAAAAAAACAGCACACAGAAACTGTTTTGTAGATGCACACCACATAGATTAGTTATGGCATTAGATATAGCCAATGCTGTAGGGACTCCATTTCCACAACCTGACATATCTTCTCCAAGTAACAATTTCGCAAATCTTTCCTTCATCATCTCAACCTCTAGCCCTATAATCATCAAATCCAAAAACATATTTTGAATAAGTCGTAAACGGCTTTTCAGTCATATCAATCAGTCATAATTGTTTTCATAAATTTTCTCAAACATTCGTATTAGTATCTTGTACGTAAAAATTTTAAAATACCTGGTAATACCAAGACTTGTTTCTCAAAATCCTCGCAACCCGAATCTTTTTTCTCTTCAACTTCACTTCCATGTGAACTAGTACTATCAGATGCAAAAACTTCCATTATCACAAGATCACTACCATTTTCACATTCTTTGCTACCTTCATTAGTATTATTAACTTCATTCTTCTCAATCACATTCACACCTTCCATTGCAATTTTCCTATTCTTCAAGAAAAACAATGATATTTAGTGGTGTTAGTTATTGTAATGGTTATGCTTTTTCTCTTTGTTTGGTGTAGTCACTTTCTATTAGTTGTTAACAATGTTTTGATAATGAAAGGTAGATAGATAAATAGATAAATTGTTGGAATGTTTTGTGAGCTACCTTTGATTGCTTACTTGTATATGAAGGATGAAGACAATCATCATTACTCAAAAATGTTCAACCCACGTGAAGTTGAGAGAGACTTGTGAAAAATATAGATCACTCATATTTCAAATTTTGGGAAACGCTCTCTTTATCCTTATTGTTCTAATTATCAACAATCATATTTAAAAATTCTTAATTCTTCAACATTGATTCAAAAATCAAAATTTCATAATACTTTATATATTAATTATCATGCATGATCAATAATTTTTTATATATTTTTAATACATTATAATTATTAATAAATATAACTTTATAAATAATTATGATAAAGTCAAACATCTTTAATTATATAATTTTATAAATAATTATGTATATACTAAAATTATTTTTTAATATAAATTGACATAATTTTATAGGTAGTTATGTTAAGAGTGAAATATCTTTAATAAATTAACAATTATAATTGATTCAAATTATAAAACTTTACACTCTTCCGTAGATGAATTAAATTATATTTTATATATCTTATCCAAGTTTGAATTTGTAATATCATATTGTCCGACTTTAACTAGAATTTTAAAAATAGTGTGTCAATGACAAATTTATATAGCAAAATATCTCACTGAAATTGATAGCTAGTTTTAGATTTCCTACTTCGTTTTAATTATGAAATTTATTTAAATATAAAAAACTAAAATGGATTGTTAAAATATTTTTATTATATGGAGTGAAAGTAAATTTGCATACTTAGTACTCCAACGTCTAAGTTAGTTCAAGATTCAAGATGAGTGTAGTGAAAATGGAGATTAGAAAGTGTGCATCTTGCATTTCATGTGAGAAGACTTTTATACCATGGGTCATATGGAGTGGATTTGAGTTGATTTAGGTCTTAGCTATTTGGGTCTTTAGTCGGCTTAGGACAGTTGCCCTCACGACATGTCGAGCGCTTAGGATGCAGGGAAGTCTTTAGCGATCATGGTCGGCCTCTAAGGATGTTGTCTGATTTGATTTAGAAGTTAAATGTTTGAAGTCCATTGAAAAAAGTAGTGAGAGACAAGTGCATTAAATGCATTTGTATCACTCAAATGTTTCTTTGGTTATCTCTAACACATGGGGTGAAAAGACTAGTTAGCACATGACGTCGCTTATAGTGCCCTCGAATTTGTTAGTATTTCCAAGGGAAAATCCAACGGTTAATTTTATAACATATTTTACCGCTGATTTGGCTCGCTCAATCCTCTTTGTCGATATATAGATGTGGGTAAGCATTGAGGAAAATTTTCACAATCTTTGACATTCAATCTCATTTGTAAGCGTTCTTATTGGAAAACATCTTCTTCTCTTCCCTCTCAAGAGCAGTTATCGGCCTAAAGCTTCTACCTTTCTTCATTCATTTGCTTCCTCATCCTCCCCTAACCAGATACCATTTTCAACTAAAGTTTTTACCTTCAACATTTTATGTTTTATGTTCACAATGAGTAATAACCATATTCGCTTAGATAGTCACTCTGAAAGTAATGTTTCTTTCGCTGTAGGAATGAGGGTTGTTCCTGATTCATGTTTATCTTCCCTTACTCACGATTACGTGGGCCACAAAGTCGTATCCTTGATCGATGATTTTGATTTGAAAAAGGTATTGGAGAACTCTCTCGATGAGAAAACTTCTTTGTTGGATTCTTTCGAGGCTCTTCTGTCAGATGACAGTGGTGAGGACGATCATAGTAAAGTCTCTATGCCCCATCGCATTCTGACCGATGTAGAAATACAACCTGCTAAGTTGCTGAGAGAACACGCTCGTAATTTTGCCCAGGTTTACCAGTGAACTCGTAATTGCAAACCTAGCGTTGATGAAATTAGGGCCCACTTTGAGTGTTGGAGTAGGACAAATATTATTTCTCGGATCAAGCCTGGTAAGCATTTTAAAGTTGGCAAGCTATCCTGAAGGGTTGTGACGCAAGTGGAGCCAGCTGACGCGGTAAAGTATGGTTGGGTAGTTGCATAAATGGTGGGAATTATGTCTATTATGAATAACAAAACGACTATATATATGTTATTAACATCACGATCGACGACCCTTTGAATTGGTTGATCCTTCTTGTAGGTTCGGAGAAAAGGATATGTAGCTTTTTTATGAATGTTTGGTCCCCTTTTATGAGTGTCTATTCACCAGGATAGGATTACGATTGTTCTTCTCTGACTTCGAGGTGAACGTCATGAAGCACTTAAAGGTTTCCCCTTCTCAGCTTCATTCGAGGGCATGTGCTTATATGTTCCAATTTTGTGTCGAGCACAAGTCTTGTTCCATCGGGTTGTTCTTTGACCTGTTCTATATGGTGAACACTTCTCAGCTTCATTCGAGGGCCTGTGGTTATATGAAGGTGTTTCAATTTTGTGTCGAGCATAAGTCTTGTTCCACCGGGTTGTTCTTTGACCTATTCTATATGGTGAACACTTCCCAGAATGATACCCGTGACCAATGGCTTATTACTTTTTAATCAGATGACTTTTGGTTCAGCCATTTCACTAACGACTTGGTAATTTATGAGGCATTTTTTACTGGTGAAACCCCTCACTCCGGAGGTTCATCTCTCCTTTTTCTACTCTCTAGTTGAATCTTCTCGCTTCTATAAAAGTATGTTCCTAAAGTATTTGTCTTAGCCTCACGTCCATTCTTTAGTCAATTTCTACCGCCTTAAACTAGGTCCCCTTTCTCCTGAAGAGGTAATAATGAAGGAAGACATGCATTATTGGTTTCATTGATTTGGCTATGAGAAAGGTTTTGGCTCTAACAAGGTGTCTTTTCCTATCTAAGGAAGAAGCAAATCGATAATCGCACCATCGTGAGTATGGTCGTTCGTGCAAAGAGGAAAGAGATCTTTGGTGAGGACGGAGTCCTAATGTTTTTTACATGTGTGATTACATATTGAAGATACCATGGATAAATTTCAATTGGTATACAAATTTTTCAATGCTCAAGGGATCAAGAATGGTCCTATAGGCTAGGATGTGATGGCTCCTCTTGATCCAACGAATAATGGTTGAGATAAAGACCAACATTACCCTCTAGAGGAGGTTTTTCCTAAACAGACCCGGTTGTTCGAGGGTGATGCCTTAGGGTATCTAACTCCATTCCTTTGAATGCCTTATATACTTCCTTCTTGGATTCCTTGCACTCATGAGGAAGTTGTTGTTGTTATATCAATGAAGGTGTTTTCCTTTATTTAAAACTTATCCAAGGATGAGAAGATGAAGCTTCTTTCTAAGTTCACCTTCCATACTACCAGGTTGCTTCCTTATTCTCTATACCCACTACTGGTAGATGGGATGTCTTGTATTTATGCAACCACACCAAGGAGAGGGATACACGGAGGGGATAGTATGAAGCCCTAAAGAAGAAGTGCTTGGCATACCAGAAGGAATTGGCCGATTTGCAAGAGAAGGCCGAATTTGCCAAATATTTACAAGAGGCGAAAAAGATTCATGGATCTCCTTCAACCCTGGTATCCCGAGTTACTAAACTGGAATCCTCCTTTGAGGCAGATAAAAATGGTGTCAAGAGGCTTCTGATGTTGCTGCTAAGGAGAACTGCAGTCTGAGGGAGGATTATAAAATTGTTCACTAAGAAGTAGAGACCCGTGTTAAGGCTCTAAAAGCTTTTAAAAGAGATGGTGAGTCATTGAATCCCTACTTCCTAGGAGGATATGGATTAACATGTTGACCCTGACTTCTCTTTGAGCGAGGAACACATTTTCCCATGTTTCCCATGTCTGGGAGAGTAGAGAGCACTCAGGGAGAGGTGGACCTTAAATGCGGGCAGTAGATGAGAGTCACCTCACTGGTAGTTGTAATCTCCTAATCCTTAATGGATATTTTACAAATATATCACTACACAATTCCTCAAGCCCAAAGGCTTTGATAAAGCGCATGGTGCTTTGAACGATAGAGCATTTGGAGTGTCCATATTATAAGATCCTAAGTCCCCCATGTGAGATTATATGTTGAGTATGTCTAATGAAACTCTAAGTCCCTCATGTGAGGTGTTGAATCTCTTGGGAGAGACTTGGGTTCAACCCTCAAGAAAGACTTATTAGTTAAATCTCTCTGGGCATACTTCGGTTGCATCCCTCAGGAGAGATTGTAGGTTAGACCTTGTTTAAGGTGACATCAAGTCCCTCATGAGAGGTGTTTAGTTTCTCGGATGAGACTTATGTCTAAACCCTCATGAAATACTTATGAGTTAAGTCTCTCGGGTTAGACTTCAGTTGCATCCCTCGGGAAAAATTATAGGTCAAACCTTATTTAAGGCGATATCAAGTCCCTCAGGAGAGGCGTTTAAATGAGCCCGTATGATGGAACTCTAAGTCATTCCAACAAGATTGTATATTAATCCTGTATAATAAGACTCTAAGTCTCTCAGGCGATGCATTAAGTCTCTCAGGAGAGACTTTGGTCCAAATCCTCGGGAAAGACTTATGAGTTAAGTCTCTAATGCCAGACTTTGATCGTGTACCTCGAGCGAGACTATAGGTTGGACCTTGTCTAGTGAGACATAAAGTCCATCATGCGAGTGTTGCACCCCGAAATTTTCCCTTGTTTGGGTTCGCTTAGATTAGAGTTTCTTGTGAGAGTCCTCCTCGGGTTTTGGTCTCTCTTATTCCGGTTTTCCTTGTTTGGGTTCGCTTTGATTGGCGTTCTTTGTGAGAGTCCTCCTCGGGATTTGGTCTATGTTATTCAAATTTTCCTTGTTTGGGTTTTCTTCGATTGGAATTCCTTGAGAGAGTTCTCCTTAGGTTTTGGTCTCTCTTATTGTGTGTCCAATATCCTTATCCGACATATA